GATCAAACGTTTACGGCTGAAAAAAACGTCTTCGCCGTCAACCAGGAAGTGTGATTCTGGCTCTTTTTCTGTCCGGTTTCACAGGAATCATCAGAACCACCTGTGCCAGTACTGGTGTGAGGCCAATTAATGAAGGTTTTATTGTAATAATTACATATTTAAAAGGGTGAGGATAATTGTCTAACCTCTGGTACATTAGAATAATTAATATTTAACATTTGGGTTTCAACAGACTACTCATTTATTTTAATGATTGGTTTCTGTATTTTATAGTTTGTTCCATTTTTCTGCCTTTATCATCCTTTTTCCCCTTCGTCAGCAATTTTCTATTCACACCTGTTCCCTGTCCCCATTACTGCCAATTATACCAAAATTATTGTATTTATACTGTAGTTTTAGGGTTGTTACCATACAAAAAGTAGTTTTTTAAAAGCCAGAATGTATGACAGTTTTAATGTTTCTCTGCACTTAATAAAGAAAACATATCTCATGAAGGTCGAAGTCCTGTTTTTAGTTATTAAGCTAAAATTTGGTGCAATAAAAACTCAAAATGTTTTTTTTCTTACAGTTTTCCTCTCCTGTTTTTTTTCCAGCACATTAGCAGTCGGCGCCATAAAGACCGAGCAGCAGGGAAACCAGCCAAACCCAAATACAGCCCCTACAGCAAACCGCCGAAAGGCTCGACCCAACAGCCGGTGAGTCCCGGCGCACCTTCACCAGCTAAACCCAGTTGACCACGCTACGATTACCAAGACTCCTTTGTTTTATAAAGGATAGTCTGGTCATTTTTGAAGTGATGTTCTGTCCAATGCCGTATCAACCATGTCAGTTTTACAGCTAAAGACTAGCTAAATTAGCGCTTGTTGTTTTCCGGCTGATAAAAGAAGATATAGGTTTTTAGTGAGTGGGCAGAGTTCAGGAAAGACGAATGGTCCATTTGAGTTTATAGGAGGAGTTTGTGAAAGACGTGATTGGTCGTATTGACTGTTTTGGGTGATTGATGATTTGACGAAGTATGAGTTTTGATTGGGCGGAAAAAAGGCCAATTTTATGTCTTTCCGCAAGATTTAGAGAATGGGGAAAACACCATTTTGTGCCACTTTTTAGGGTTAACCTTTGACCTCTTACTACTAGGGTCCAACTGGGACATTTCCACCATACTTGTGGCTTGGTGTTTTAGGGAAAACACCAGTGGCTAACCTTTAGCCTACACTAGAACCTCGCGAATCCTCGTGATGTGCAGCAACCAGAGCTGCAGTCAGAGCAGAGAGGAGACCAGTTATAAGAATGTTTTTTAAAATAAATCCCTGGACCAGGCTACATTTGACTCAGCCTCACCTCGTTGAGTTATTTCCATTTTTCTTCTCTTTAATGTTGATAAACATCTCTCTTACAGCCTAGATCACGCCAAATGTTCAGATATGCTAATTACTGTAGGCGATGACGTCATTTAGCCACTTCTAGCTCTGATTAATTACCATTAAAGGGATCCCCGATTAGTTGTAACATTAGACTTTATTTAATAAACATATACTTTAACTGTAAAATAAATACTGTAAAAATACTGTACAATGTTCAGTTTTTATCATTTTTAAATTAAAAGTTTAAAAATGTATTACACGGAAGGGGCCATTTTATTTACACGCAAAGCATTCTAGCATGCTAGCGAGCTATATCCACCCTGAAGGTTAATCTTGGACAATATCTGATGATCGGCTCTTATAAATGAAACCAGAGAGCGTTGACAGAGAGGAGAAGGTAGAAATGACTCAGCCTG